ATCCCAGGCACCCCATGGTATGCACACATGAGCTCCTGGGCTCCACCTAGTGAGCTCCAGGTTGCCTTCCGCACGTTATTCCCCTTGGCCACCTCAGTGTCCCCGGTGGCAGGTTCTGACTCACCCTTAAGCTGTGGCACTCATCTGGGTCTGGGAGGCTGCCTTCCTGGGAGGCCCACCTGCTTATCCCTGTCACTACCGGGGAGTGTTGCACAACAAGTCCTGCTCCCCAAGTCCTGCAGGGGCTCACTCCCACCTTGTTGTCTTCAGGATGAGAAGGAAAACCATCTGTCTGTTCACAGCTGCTCCCAGGCCCATGAGGGATCAGCTTGGCAGATCAGCTTCCTAGACCATCCACGGCTATGGCAACCAGTGCCCAGCTGGCTCAGGCCTGCCTGAACACGAGGAGCATGGCTAACTATGTAAGACCCTCAGAGGGCTTTTCCATCACAATGGCCATCCTCTGCACCACCCTCCCTGAGCAGCGACCATCCCCCACCTGCTCACAGCTCAGACGCCCACCCAACACTGCACACAGTCAGGAGGCTCAGGAACCATTCCATAAGAGGAAGCTCCTCACACTGACCAGAGGACTACAGCTGGGAAAGATTTGGACCCAGGACACAGAGAGGCCTTGCCACCCCCTTCAAGGCCACACCAGAAGGACAGCCTGACCATCATGAAAGGGCATGCTCAACTGCCAACACCATGTGACCCTCTGCTGGGGAGAGACCACCCTCTATCACCATGAAGTATTCATTTGTGTACGCACATGGTGCACACATGTGTGCTCACACACATGCACACAGGATGAGTAAGATGACAGGACATTAACACACCTGACCACTGTAGGAAGGGCCTGTCACCTGGAGACAGTCAGGGAGGAGGAGGAGGTGGACATGGCCTGCCCAGCTGGGGTTCCCAGCAGCCACCTGCTCAGTGTGTACTCTTGTTTCCTTTAGTTGTTTTGTTTTGCTCTATGATGCTGGGACTCAAACCCAGGGCCCCTAGGCAAGCAACCTACCACTGAGCAACACACCCAGGTCTTCCTCTGGTTTGGAATTTGTTTCACAGAACATTTTGTTTTGTAACCTACCCTGGACTCACACACATTAAACAGTGCAACTTGTAAACGACACCCACTACCTTCCATGCCCACTTGTCCTGGCTCAGATCATCTTTGGGGTTAGTGATACATCCCTTCCTGCAACCCTGTCCTTCCTATCCTTGCTCAGCAGGACAGAACCTGGAAGCCTCATGCTCAGTTTACTTTCTAACTGTACTGTTTCCTACATCCCAATAGTGACCTCAAGGTCAGCTGGGCAAGGGTGTTATGTCACTGTCCTGACAGCTGCAGCCCTGAGGGCAGCACAGAGCACTGCCCGCTGCCCAGCCTGCACCCAACACTCAGCAGGACAAAGGTGACCCAGGATTGCCTCGGTCAGGATGTCAGGGGATGGGGCAAGAAGCCCTTAGGTGCCCAACATGAAATCAGCTACAGGGCATGAATCACAGGAAAGGAATCCTAAAGGGGACCAACAGCCAGACCAGGAAGAACTCAGCCTGCGATGCTAGTGCTGACCAGAGGACAATGGGGTGGGAAACAAGCAGCCTAAGCAGTAAACCTGTGTGAGGACTGAGGGCAGATGGGGTCCTTGGACCCCCTAGCTGGGGTCTCCCACAGCATCCTGAGGCCTCCAGATGCACCCATTCCTGTGGAGGGAGAGACTGAGCAGACTACATTTCAGGAGAGGTAGGTCCCTGGCCCCTCTCTGAAGCCAAAAAAGAAGTATTCCAGCCCAAGGAGGCCCTCTCCATTCCTACTCTGAAAGCACTCCCATGGAATGGGAGTGTTCTTCCCAATTCTAGAAGACTTTCACAATAAATGAAACTCAGGATGAATGTTCTGTCTTGCACATGTGCTGAGAGGTGTGGTGCCTGTCTTGGGACGGGACCCCAGGTCCTTCCAGAACACACAGCCCTGTGGGAGTGGAGGTCCCAGAGGCCCACAAATGGGTGTGAACCAGGAGCTAAAAAAAGCAGCTGGGCGTGGCACGTGGCTATAATCCCAGCTACTTGGGAGGGGAGCAGAAGAATCTTGAGTTTGAGGCCAGCCCAGGTAAAGATAGCAAGATCCTATCTTGAAAACGAAATAAAAACAAAAGGGTTGGGGATGTAGTTCAAATACAAGGCCCTGGGTTCAATCTCCAATATGGGGAATTGTGGAAGTAAAATGGGGTGGCCCACTTCCTGTGTCCACCCCTCCTCTGACCAATCAACCTTCACTCATTTAGGGTGATGGAGGAGGGGAGGTGTCATAAACAGACACACACCAATTGGGTGACAGGGCCACCATATTCCTGACTCCACAGAGCCAGCACAGGCCCCACCTGGGTCAATGACAGGGACAGGTCAAGGTTAGGATTCAGCTTGCATCTGGCCCTGGGAAAGCCCTGCTGTCCTCCCTCTTACCATCCACCTCCCTGGAACAGAAGCTGTGGGAGGTCCAAGAGGACTGCCAGCTCCTGGGGTCAGAGGGCCAGGAGGCCCCTTGCCAGCTGGGCAGATCTGACCTGGCCAGGCTCTGCACCCTTGCTCTAGCCCTGGAGTCCCACTGTTCTGCAAGTTGGAGTGGCCCCAGTTCCACAACAACCTGGTGCTTTCTAGACATAACTCAGGAGGTCTCCCAAGCTCACTTCATCACCAGGACCCAGGAAGCCTGCCCAGAAACTGAGGCCTCCAGGGACCTTTCAGGGGCCCACAATGGAGGCAGGGAAGAGCTGCAATGCAGCTCACAGGTCACAAGATCAGGCAGGCTTTGCCCTGAACTGTGACCACACACATGGCCCAGGCCCCAGGCAGCAGGCTGGGGCTCCACCTTCCTCCTGCTTCTGCAGGACTTTCCCACCAAGAAGTCACGTGTGCTGTCCCTTCTCTGGTCACGCTGACCATGGGCAACTCTGAGAACTAGGATCTGACAGCTCCTGTTATAAACCAGGACACGATCAGGCAGATTCTAAGAGCACAGCACAGCTACCCTCTTAACAGCACAGAGGCTGCAGTTCCCAAAAACCTCTATGGAATTAGGAAGTATGTCAAGCACAGTCAAAGTCCCCATCACAAGTCCTGTATGAGCTCAGCTTATGTCACAAGTTCAGCTGAGACCACAAAGGGACCTTAAAAAGTGCATGCACAGTGTCCTAGGCCTAGAGGTGTGGCTCAAGCAACTAAGTGCCTGCTTTATAAGCGTGAAGCCCTGAGTTCAAACATCAGTCTCATCAAAATAAAAAAAAATGTGCATGAAGTCCACACTGGCCCTCCTGCTAGTCTGAGTGCAGGGGGGAGAGCAAGATCGCCACAGAGCCGTCAGAAGAACAGAGTGGAGGAATGCTGGGTGGGATGCACCCTTGCCCTCCTAAGAAGCCTCGTCTTCAGTTTTGACATTAGTACAGCTCGAGGACTCTAACAGTAGAAGGAACAAGAAAATGACCTCTGGCTGAAATGCAAACCACACTTGGGATCTAGAGACATAAACATGTCTGCCTGAGACCACTGAGCATCCAGGAAGGGCCAGGGAGGCTCCTGTTGGGAACCCTGAGTGCATCCAGAGGGACACTGAGACATCACCCACCCAGAGAGAACACACCAGAGCAAGTCCACCCTCCAATGAATGGTGACAAGTATGAGGCCAGGCCCACAGGTTCTGCATCCACCTTTCACCTGGTTTTATGGTTCCAGCCAGGCAGCAGCCCTGACCATTAAGAGACACACCAAATACTCTGTGCACAGGAAGACTGGACACCCCTCACCAGTGAGAAGGGACACTGACGGAGGGGTACAGGCCCGTAGCACGTCTATTTTAGGTCACTTGGGCCAGCGTTCTACCCTGTGTCTGCAGGGTCCCAGAAGTGTGCCCAGAGGAAGCACCTTTCCTGCCTGGGAAAGTGGGAAACAAAGGTCCCAAAGACAGTGGCAAGACCTGTCCCTTGGCTGGCCACAGTCTGTTTCCTTCCATGCCCCAGAGCCGGGAATCTGGGGTCTACCTGTGAGACCCTCTGCTAGGCAAATGAAAGGCCAACTGCACTGTGGGGCTGTCCTGATCCTCTCACCTTCTCAGCAACCTCAGGATGTCTGGAGGAGAGCTGAGACCCAAAGATGAGGCAGCTGGCTCAAGTTGAGTTGCCCTGCCAGCAGAAGCCAGAGGCTGGATATTGGAGCTGAGATGGAGATCCCAGGCCCATCCCCACCCCACAGAAAGTGAAAGTGCCAGAGAACTCAGATCCCAGGAACAAAGAGCCAGCAAGGAGGGCTCTGGGAAGCAGGAGTCTTGGCCGCTGCTCTGAGAAGACAGCCCCCTCCCGAGCCCCCCTGGACTGCTTGCTGTCCTTCCTCTGTGACCCCAGGGGAGCTATGCTAGTCCAAGGTCAGTGGAGGCGGATCTGGGATCCCAGCCCGAGCTTATCTGACTGCAGTCCTGGGCCGGCCTGGCGCGAGAGAACGAGGGCAAGCCAAAGGGAAAAGCCACACAGTGAGCTCACCTTCCAGGGGTCTGCACCCCGCCCACCACCACGTGCCACCGAAGAACCTGGGTCTTGCCGTTTAAAGAGGTACCTCCCGCAGCTCTGCACCTCCTCCCCTCCCACCCCAGTGCGTCCGGCCAGAGGAGCGAGACAGACAGAAGCCTCTTCCGGCGCCCCTGTGTGTCGGCGGGCCAGCCATGCAGAGGGGCGGGGAGCCCGCGCCCCAGAGACACATTTGGGACGTGGAGCTCTGCAGATAAGGGGGTACGGGGAGCAAGGCAGAGGACCCTAGAGGAACACAGCGTGCAGGGGCAGCAGCCCAAGCCCCCAGTGGGGCCCTGTCCAGCCGGGTCACCACTCTTGACCAGAGCGTCCCCGCCTGCCCTCCCTCCCACCGCCCGCCTCATGCCGCCGGCGGCCCACAGCGGCGAGAGGGCCCGGCCTCCGTCTTTGTCCGGCGGCAGGTGCGGCTGCGCTCACCCGGGCTGGGGCCGTCGGGCTCGGCGCTCTCGGGAGGACCCGGTGCCTCCGTGCGCTCGACCGCCTCCTCCCCGCCGCCGTCGGCGCGCGCCTCCACCGGCACCACGGTGAAGTTGGTGGGCATTGCGCCACGCCGCTCCGCTGCCCGCTCCCGCCAGGCGCCTCCGCCGCTCCGCAGCCTGCGGGACTCCGGGCGTAGGGGCGGGGTCCGCCCGGCCCGCCCCGGCCGCCACGTGACCGCACCTGCCCGCCCCCGCGGCCCGCGGAAAAGTTTGCCCCCGGCGGGGCGGGGCGGTTTCCACTAGGCCCGCCCTCAGAGGCCACTGCCACGCAAACCACTGCTCCCTGCAGCAGACCCCGAAGACCCGCCCCCAGCCCCTGGAGACCCCGGCCCCGCTGCCATGCAGCCCTCCTAACCACAGACCCCGGTCCCTGAGGACCTCGTGGTCCTCCCCCAGGTCCCGCCCCCCGGTGACTCCGCCTCCATAAGACTCTGCCCCGGCTCCAAGCGGACCTCCTACGTACAGGCCCCGCCCCTCGAGGGCCTCGTGGCCCTTAGGTCCCGCCCCCCGGTGACCCCGCCCCCGTCGCCCCGTAGACCTCTGACCCACAGAACCCCCCCACCCCTGGAGGATCTTGTCGCTCCCAGGTCCCGCTTCCCTGATGACACCCCCCCACCGAAAGACCCCCCCCCGCAAGGCAGCCTCTGATACACAGACCCCACAGACGTCGCCCCCAGGTCCCGCTCCCCTGTGGCCCTGCCCACACAAGACCCCGCCCCCGCCGCCCCGCTCACCTCCTACCCCCCACACGCCCCGCCCCTGCAGGACCTCGTGGCCCCCAGGTACGGCTCCCCGATGACCCCACTCCCGCCCCCAGCTTTTGCAGACCTCTGACCCACATATCCCCTCCCCTGGAGGACCTCGTCGCCGCCAGGTCCCGCCCACTCAAAGCTCCGCCCCCAGCTCCTAAGCTGTGCCCTCTCCGCCCTGTCTGGGCTTTCGGCCTCTTAAACTCACAGCATTCCGCCTTCTCTATTGCCCCTCTCCCGCAGTGGCCCCAGTCTCCACTGCACCTCCACTGGGTTCTCTGCAATCCACCACCCCGCAGATCACGCCCCCTCCTATCACACTGCCCCGATCACTGAGAGTGATCCGTGATCAGGAGGCTAGGGCTCCTGATCTGGTCAGACTGCTAGCCTAGCCCAGGGAAGGATCGTTGGTTAGCCTGAGGGAGAGGTTCTCTGCTATCCTGGTGTTAAGTAACCCCATGGAGAGGAATTACCAGGGCTTCACGACAGGCCCCGCCCGCCAGTGCCTCAGGCCCACACACACCTGTTCGGTAGAGTGTCAGTGACCCCATGTGAGGAAACCCTTTCTTCTCCTCCCGAGGGATGCGGCTTTCTCCATCCGGAAACCACAGAAGGAAAACTCAGGGGTGTCAGGATGAACAAAAAGAAGTCATATTAGGATAGGACCCCTCCCCCCAGCCTTGCAGGCAGTTTACTGACACCCCACGACCCACTGGAAGGATCATATCTAGCCTCAAGGAAATGACAAGTCACCACCTCGCCAGGGGGCCGGGAACCAAGCAACCTACCTATCTAATTACCACTTATCTGCTCTAGCTTCCTGAGCAACTTACCTACCTAGTTACCGCTCGTCTCCTCAAGCTTCCCCTAGCGATGGTTGGCTCCACCCAGCGAGGTTTTCCCTCAAGACCGCCCCCCTATATCTACACCAAGTCTGTAAGCAGCTGGGGGCTCCAGCTCTCTTGCTGGCCGGAGTCCCCCCGTCCGCAGGGGTGACTTGTGCTGGTGTTT